CAACAAGAAGCTAAGAGAATTCAGAGAAAGCCTACACTCTCTGGCCTTCCCCAACGATATAAAAAACAGTTTTATTCCTAAGAAGCTTATAATTGAGGTGGGGAAAGAAAATTAGTGTGCATTTTTTAAGGTGCCCAGAATAATTAAATATTAAATGGTGTGATGCTTGCCGGTTGCAACAGGACTGTAATGTGGCTCAGGGAGTCAGTTCTGCGTCAGAGAATTCCCGAGAAGGGGGAGACCAGAGCCACAGATTTGGATCAGTGGAGAAAAGCAGGGAGGGGTTCCGGAGAAGGAGAACTGCATGAGTGATTACCTGCAGAGTATGCAGGACAGGCGGGGCTGGACGAACCAGGTTGTGTGTTAAATGCAGGAAGATACGATTGGAGAGAGGGAGGGGGGTGTCGGGAGGGGAAGACGGGGCAGTTATGAAGTCTCTGCATTTGGGATGATGGAAATGATGGAAGGAAGGATGGCAAGGGAGGAGGAAGCATCTGAGGGCTGGCAAGGAGGGAGCTGAGGAAGTTTCTAGCAATTGCTGGTCACCAGCAGACACAGGAAGCTGTGTTTCTTTATGGGGTGGCTGACTTGAGAGGTGAGGGGACCCCTCTTCCCTCCGGGGCCTGTGCCCTTCTGCAGCTGCACAAACTCCATGAGCCCCACGATCAGAGAGTGAGCACATGGGCCACACTCCCCTGTGTGCCTGAAGTCCCAGCCTGTGACAGGCCCCAGGGAACCACCACAGGGCTTTGCACAGAGAATGGCGGATCCAACACTTAGACAAACATTGGGGGCAGCTACTAGGTACAAAGCAGCATGGGGAAATGGAAATAAGTGACTGAGACCCATAGTCTAGGGGAAGAAACGTGGATGGAAGGACGGCACTGATGGTGGTGCATTGGGGACACCCAGCCCTGTGCCCCTCATCAAGGCCACCTGGCCCTTCCCTGAGCAGGTCACAAGCCAGCAGCCTCTGTGCCTGAGCTCCGGTCGCTCTCCCAGAGGGAGGCTGCGGAGAGAGGTGGGGAGGTTGAGGCAGATGCTGAGCGCCAGGTAGGAAGAGGTCAGGAGGAGGATGGGCTTGGAGGGTGGGTCCTGGGTTTGGGCGGCGTTCCCGGAGCACCTGGCTTGAGCTACAGGGATTTAGGAGGCCAAGAGGAATCAGACAGCGTTAGCACCAGCGGATCGCAGGCCAGGAGAGGAGGCGGGAAACAAGACTTTCTGCTCAGGATGGAAAGTGCTGGAGTCATGTGGGTGCACAGAGGAGGTAGTGATGAACTCTGCCCTGGACCTGGGGTGTGGGCTGGGGCTGGGAAGACATCTGAGTGGGGCTTGGGGCCTTGGGGAAGGGTGGGGTTCCCTGAGTTGGGGGGAGCGGGGGTCTCAGGCAGAGGAGTCACCACGAAGAATGGGGCAGTGCTTTTAAAGGCCAAGAAACAGACTAGCAGGCTGGTGTGGTGTGTGTGCATGTGCACGTGTGTGTGCGTGTGGGGGGGGGGGGGAGAGAGAGAGAGAGCGCACATTGGGAGGTGAGGCTGGAAAGGAGGATATCTCCATATCCTGACCATTGCCAATGTCTGGTGAAGGAGATTCACCAGACATTGGCAATGGTCAGGATATGGAGAATGGCTGGAATAATGGGATAATGTTGGTGCTTTAGGGAAGAGGCAGGGTTGGGCAGGGGGTCGGCGGGGATGAGTTTGGATGTGAACCTGTTCAATCTTAGGGGAGGGTGGAACATTGTTGTCAAGCTGTCTGAGCCGAGCACCCTACACGGAGGGGGCCCAGTGAGCCTTGAACCAGTGATGGGGAGGACAGGAGGACTGGAAAGCCACAGCCCGAGAAGGCACAGGTGCCTGAGCCTGGACTAGGATCCGGTCCCCTCGCCCCAGCAGTCATCCGTGACCCCTCATGTATAAGCGAATGAGCATGGCCCCACACTCAGGGTTTGTTGGGAATGGAGAGTTCTGGTTCATTTCACTGAACCCCATCTCCTCCCAGAAGCCCCCTCCCCAGCCCCCTTTCTGACTGTTTCCTGGTGGTTTCTGATGTGCCCTGGGACCTGACAACCCTGTCTAGCCCTGTCTAGGAGTTCTCTGAGCACGGGGCCAGTGTCTCCCTCCTTCAGGTTCCCCACAGTCCGGGACGGGGCCCGTGCATGTAGTGTGGGGGCATATCGTGTGATAGTCTGCCAAGCGGACAGGGGTGCTTGAGATCCAACTGCTTCCAGCAGGAATTTGGGCCAGATCCCATGGGCACACAGACTTGTGACCTCCTGGACTTCCTGGTTCGGACAAGGTCATTCAATCCAAATGGTGGTGTAATTGCCCCTGACTATTTACCTGATCTGTTCCAAGTAGGTGAGATGCCTGGGATTTGGGGTGAAGGGGCAGGAAAGGGTTGTTTTTATCAGGACCTACTCGGCCCACCCATCCCAGAGGCCCCACATTATCAAATGTTTTCCAGTTCCTATGGTAACCAGATCACAGAGCCAGGATGTGTTATTATTTGGGGAGAAAAGGGAAGGGCCGCGGAGTGAGGACTGACGTCCATCCACCGTCCATCAGCCAGGCAGCTGAGTCACCGGCCACGGTTCATGGAGTCAACTTCCCTGTGGTCTGAGGCTCCCACTGGCCCTCCCTCTGACAAGAGGCTGGTCCCAGGACCACATCTGTCAGCAAGCACAGATGACAGGGCACCCCACCCTCAGCATTGCAGGTGGCTAGCAGGGTGGGGAGGGAAGTTACTGAAGGGGGCGCAGGCCTGCCTTTAGGGAGTGAGAGCTTATGGGGAGGGAGAACATTCTATCCTTCCAGAGAACACATGTATATTCATAGACAGCTTCTAGGGCCACCCAGCAACTGGCTTATGACCTGGAAAAAGTCACCTGCCCTATCTGAGCCTCAGTCTCCTTTTGTACAAAATGGGGAAACTGGTACTATCTCATCAGCTTGTTGTAGGAGAGGAACGATTGTGCCAATAAGACGCTCAGCATCCTACCCCACTTCCTACAAAGCACTCAAAAGAAATAGCATTTACAGTTATTGCTGGTTGGCTAGACGCTGACCACACATCTCTGGACCACTTGGAAGATGAAGCAGAGGGAGGTTCTACTGCTCCCCAAACACACGTGCTGGCTACCTGTTGAGCAGCCATGGGAGGCCACGGTGGACACAGCCACCCCCAGCCACGGCCACCAGGAATTGAAGTAAGAAGCTTCAGTTGTCAGATGTAGAAGGAACAGAACAAGAAAGTTAATGGGTCAGCCAGAGGGCGTGGGTCGGCCAGAGAGTGGGGACAAAGGAGAGGCGGTGAGACAGACATCCCAGAGAGCAGGTGCTCAGGCCGCCCAAGTGTGTTCCGACGCCTAAGGCCTCCCTTGCTCTCGGGCCAAATCCCTTCTGATGATAGTCTGGCTTTCTGGAGAGACTTCCCCACCAAAGAAAGGGTGCTGATGGGTGGACGTGGTTCATCAGCCCACTCGTGGCTGTATCCTCACTGTGAGTGGCTGAGTCAGCACTGGGGTTCACACTCGTGTTGTAGTGAGTCACCCCTGAACACATCCATCCCGCAGGCTTCCGACGAACTCGGGTTTCGAGCCTGCAAAGTGGAAACCCAGCATCGGAATGTGGAGACCACAGAAAGGAACTACCTCCATAGGGGAGTCTAGCCTTTGCCAAGGGGAGTCCCACATGACACCCATTCTGCAGTCACCTGATGCCCCCCATGGCATGTTCCATGCTGACTTCTGCTGGACACTGCGTCCCGGACAGCCAAGAGCTGTCCCACTGGGCTGGTCCTAAGCAATGCTTTTCAAACCATGGGGGTGGGGTGGGAAGGGGGAGACCCAGAAGTGGGCCATGGAATTAGTTTAGTAGGTGGGATGAGCATTTTTAACAATTAGAATAGAATCACACACATCAGAGTGTGTCACGGGGAGTAAGGGTGAATGTTACTTCCGAAGACTTTTGCATTTGTGTGTGTGTGTGTGTGTGTGTAGATACATATAATACACACACACACACACACACTACGGGGTACGGCAACAGAAAGATGGCACTTTCGAAGTGGGTCATTTAAAGGGCATTTATAAGAGGGACTATTTACAGCGATGTGGGCAGGCTGTAGGAAATCACAAGAGGTCGGGCAGAGCCAGGTCCAGGAACTGCAGAGCTTCGTTAGCGCCCCGAGGCTCGAGGCTTGAAGGAGGAAGGCACTTCTAGAACTTGGAGACGGAGAGATGTAGAGAGGGTGCAGACGGGAGCTGCGATCATCAGCCAGGGGTGTTGCCAGCCAGCCTGTGCTCACCTCCAGGGAATAAATACTTTTTCACTCCTCTCCCTCCTTCCACCTCCTGCCAGGGTTTCCCATTAGCCGAGCCCTGGGGAAGCCTGAAAACCGGGGGCCACAGACGGGGGCCATGCGTGGAAACCGCCCGGGACCTAAGGTGCACACGGGAGGCGGCGTAAGATGCGCGGTCCTTCTTACCGTGGGGCCCGGTGGATGAGGTTTTCAAAACCCTAGACGCGTGTGTCTGACACGGAGGTTGCCGCCAGGACGAAGCCAGACGTTTCGCGCGGCCCCGGGTCAGGGTCAGCGCCCCTGGGGAGGGCTCGGGGCAGCCGTGCCAAGGCCGGGGAGGAGACAGCTGTGCTGCGATCGTTCACAGCACGTTCCAGCGGCTGGAGAAACCACCTTGGCCCACATGGCCGACGTGGGCCTGCGCGCCGCCGTCCGCGGGGTCCACGGGCTGGGAGCTAAGGTCAGGGGAGGGGGGGCAGGGACGGAGAGGGACGATGTGGGGAGAGAGGAACAAGGGGGCCTGTGGTCGATTTCACCCCGCCAGGCAGTTGCCTCAGCTGGTCAGGGACAAAGGGCGGAGTGCTATTTCTAGCTCCCGGTGGAGCTTTCCACACACTTGTGGTCGGCTCGCGCGTCGCTGGGCTATGTGGGGTTGTGCTGGCCCCCCACAGCCCCGTCTCTGGGCCTTGTTCCCACAGCCCACGCTGCTGCCGACCCCATGCTGGAGAAGTCACGCCTTCCCAGCCGAGTGCGAGCAGGCTCCACGGCCGAGCCTCCTGAGTCCACCGTGAGCCCCTCGGACACCCTCCTGCAGGTAGGTGCCCAATCCAGGACCGGGTGCGGAAAGACTGCCACACTCACTGAAAGCCAGGCCCAGTTCCCAGAAAAGAGACTCTTCTGGAAAGGAAATAATTTTCTCTAATGATTAAAAAAAAAAGACAACAAGGGGGGTTCACAATAACAGAACTCTCGTTTTGCCCTTGCTGTTTCCTTGGGCGCTAGAGAGCAGCTCTGCCCTTCGCAGACTTGGGTTCCTTCCCGCTTGCTCACCTACACTAGGGGCCGAGGTGTTTACTTAGGAGTTAATAAGGTGAAGAGCAGTTTTGCCCTTTGAACGTTTCTCTTCCTTCAGAATCTCTTCATTTCTCTCGGCCACGTTCTTATCACCGGTAAGGGCTGGGACAGAGTCTCAAGGACACGGCTGAAGGTGGTTCCTGGACCATGTCCTCTCCAGCCCAAACCAGCAGGCCTTGGGCTGGACCCTGGTGTTCAATCCTAAAGACGTCCCTCGGAAATATCTTGCCAGGGTCATATTTTCTTAAGCCAACCAAACACAAAATGATTGCTTTACTATTGCATCAGTCTTAACCGAGTCATGATTAAACTGTAAGGTAGAGGAAAAAGAAAGTCCAAGAGGGTCAGTGTCTCCCCACATTCTGTGCTCATCAGCTTCAACCCCCGCACCTGTGGAGGCCAGAGTGCCGGCGGCAAAGCCTGGTTAGCGTCTCTTTACTGCTCTGCTTTCCTCTTCACTGTTCTGCCAAGACCTGCGTGGTGTTAACTCCCTCTCTGCACCTTGCACTTCCGGCCATGTGAGGTCGGTGTGGCTGGCGCTCTGTCTTCCTCAGTGACTTGGGAGACTTCTTGGAGGGCAGCGGCTCTGCCTTATTTTGGCCCCATCGTCTGCAGCGGGACCTGCGCTGTCAGACGGGCTCCACACACGTGTATGGGGCGAAAGAATGACTGAAACTTTCACTACACCTAAGTTTTTCAATGTGGAAAAAAAACATGAAGAGCTAGCCACGACTTTCAAAACTTTTGTGCTTTTGGCAGCAAAAATCTTGATTGCAAAAAAATCTAACCTAAGCCCCAAAGTAAATAAAAGAAAAGCAGCACACCTAAGAAGGTTGCCAGGTTTAGCAAGTAAAAATATGGGACCTCCAGTTAAGTTTGAATTTCAGAAAAATAAATAATTTTTAAAGTATAAGTATATCCCAAAACTGCATGGGACATACTTAACGCTAAAAAAATTATTATTATTATTTTGTTTATCTGATATTCAAATTTAACTGAGTATCCTGTATTTTAACTGGTGGCTCTCTACTCCGGCCTGTACCCACATGGGACCCCACGGGCTCCCCGGGGCTGTGCAGTCCTGTTTATGAGCCACTGTTTTAGGAAAAGCTATGACACTCATATTGTTTTCCTTCTCCCATCTCTGGAGCTGCTCTCCTAAGCAGGACCAAGGCCTCCTCCCCCAGCAACCGTGCCTGGATCATGGGTGTCCATGTGGGCCCCAGGCAGTGAGGAAAGGCTGTTGCTAAAAATGGGTCAAAATAACTTGATTAGCAGCCACATTGATGACTAACAGCCATGCCTGTTCACCCAACCATTTTAAGTCCTACATAGGTTACTTCACCCCTTGTTTTCTTTTTTTAAAAAAGATTTGATTTACTTATTTGAGAGAGACAGATAGCAAGAGAGAGCACAAGCTGGGTGGAGTGGTACAGGGAGAGGGAGAAGCAGGCTCCCTGCTCAGGGAACAGGGGCTTGTGCGGACTCGATCCCAGGGCCCCGGGATCATGACCTGAGCTGAAGGCAGATGGGTAACAACTGAGCCACCCAGGCGCCCCCACACCCTGTTTTCACTGAAACCTTGACTCTTGCTGACAGACTGTTCTGTCTGTTCTGTGAAGGTATATGATGGAGCCGCGTTGTTGTGCTCTTTCCTTCCTGCTTCCCAGCTCCATCCTGCTGGGCGAACAGAGGAGCATCCACACCCAAGCCAGTCAGCGTGGTTCTGCTGGGTGGGTGCTGGTGGTTTCTGTGGAACCAACGCAGAGATGGTAAAGCAAATGCACACCTCTCTCTTTTTACTCCCCCTGAAAAAGGCAGTGAAGGGGCTCCTTCGAGAATCAAGTGAACCCCTGAATGTCTTCCAGATGAGTTCATTTTGGTTTTTTTGTTTTTGTTTTTTAAGATTTTATTTATTTATTTGTCAGAGAGAGAGAGAGCACGAGCAGGGGGGAGCGGCAGAGGCAGAGGGAGAAGCAGGCTTCCTGCTGAGCAGGGAGCCCGATGCGGGGCTCGATCCCAGGACCCTGGAATCATGACCTGAGCTGAAGGCAGACGCTTACCCGACTGAGCCCCCCCGGCATCCCCAGATAAGTTCATTTTGGAGAAGGAGCAGGTAAATCTCAGTAGACAATGTCTGTTGATTTTTGCCTGCCCACATTAGAGCTCCCTTCCCAATTGGGGTGTCCACCGGTGTGTGGTCTTAGGGAGGGGCAGACAGGCCTCTAGGCCTGTGTGTGACCCAGGCTCAGCCCACGAGGTGCTCCTGCTCTGGGCTTGGACCTCAAGGGACAGACAGGCGGCTAGAGGCGATGTGTAGCCGTGGCGGTGAGGTCAGGAGTCAGCCGTCCACAGCACTGGGCGCGGCACCTGCACTGGCGTCCTGGCCAGCCTGAGTGTCTGTGACTGGGCTCTCAGCTGCCAGACTTCCCCTCAGGGTGCTCGGCCCATTCCCCTGAACCAGGTTTGCCGGGCTTCTAGTCAGTTCTCTGAATCACCCGATATCCTTTCCCGTCAGCTCATTAACCAGGCTGAGTTCCTGCTGTTTGCACAAGAGCACTCTAAGGTAGGTCGTCAGGCCTCACCCTCACCCTCACCGCTCCCTGTCCTGGGTGCCCTGGCGAGTGTGGAGACCCAGTCAGAGATGTGATGACTCTGTGCTAAAGGATGTCACCAGGATCTTCCTCTGGAGCTCCCTGGTCCCACATTTCCCCAAACTGTAGTGCTTTCTGAAACACAGAGGTTCGGGACCTTCTGGGGAGCCTCATACAGGACTGCACTCCCTGCCATGGTGGAGTCGGTGGCCAAAGCCAGGCAAGCAGCAGTGATGAGTGTCACTTCAGGCTGGAAGTGGTGTGAAAAGCCAGCTCGTAATTCACCACGTTCCCCCTCTCTGCCCCCATCACAGAGGTCAGACACACTCCAGATGGTGGCCGCCCCGTCAGCCTGGAACCTGTGATGAGGACGTCATGCGAGAGTTCCTCACTAACCCAAGGTGATCATTTGAAATGAGCAAGCAAGCAGGAAACTTTCCTTCTGTCAAGTCAGGAGAGGTTGGGGTTGTTACTGTAGCAGAACCTATGGGATCCTGACTGATACACAGGCCCTGTCCCAGACCTCCTTGATCTGAATCACCATGGGACCTGGGCTGAGGCGTTTTCCAAGTCCCATGGACACACTTGTGATTTTGGTGATCAGCCAGGTTTGGGAGCCCCCCATGTGTTCCACACAAATTCTGAGGACGGGCTCTGACCAGCCTCATAATGGAGACTGCCGTGGGTTGGATGGTGGGCTGGAGAGCACAGCCTGGAGACCCAAGCTGACATTCCTTCATAGCGATGCAGATTATAAAGCCGAATGGTAATTTGAAAAATTGTCTACAATTTCAAAATAAGCCAAAATTGTTAAACTCAAGTTTGTATCAATTCTCTGAACACAGCCACAAATACACACGCACATACACACACATACACACACACAGAATAAGAGAGAGCAAAACATAAGAAAATCATGGAATGGACTTACGAATTATTTTTCTTTCATTTTTCATCGTTATTGAAGTGGCAACACTTCAATAAACAAAGGAAACTCCAAATGAGATGTTTGGAGTTAATATGGAAACAATAGGAGCTCCTGAATGTTCTTGAGGAAGGGTGGGATGCGGTGGAAAAAAGGGAAGATGATAAAAATACTAGTTAAGGAAGGAAGCTGGGGCAGGCCTGTGCATAAAGGACAAAGGTGGGCGGCAGAGGCCAGGAGCCCCGCAAAGGGGCTGTGTGACGTTCCAGGAGGTATGGCAAAGCCCCAGCATTGAGGCGCGTAGGGATAGAAGGAGAGCAGGGTCAGCCTTTGGTGACCCCAGCGCTCAGCAGCCTCAGGCTGCGGCCAGGCCTGACACGCGTCTGCACTGCACTGCCCTCCAGTGGCCGGAGCCGGGAAGCCAGTCAAGCCTGTGGGGCTGCTCGCAGGAACGGTCAAGGTGAGACAATTGTGGGAGCCCGGAGCTCCTGGGACTACAGAGGCGGGGAAAGCTTCCGAGAGCACACGGTGCTTCCACACAGCATTGCAATTCTCTACAATGGGGCCAGCCTGCCGGCAAGGCCGTAACCTGCCAGGCACGCGGAATTGTGTGGACAAAGGCGTGAAAGCTTGAGGCTGTATTGAGCAATCAGGAGGCAAGGCGTGCGTTAACACCAGCGGGAGCGCAGGGTGCTTAGGGCTGGGGAAAGGTGCAGCCGAAGAGGTGAGCTGAGGCTATGCGGTGAAGGGACTTCGAAATGCATCCTAGGCCCTGGGACGCCAGCCAAGGGTTTAAGCAGGGGTGTCATATAGGGAGGAAGGAAGGTAACATGATCACATTTGCACTTTAAAAAGATCATTCTAGCAAAAGTGTGGAATATGGAATATGGATCGCGCCGGTGGGTGAGATCATGACCTGAGCCAAAGGCAGATGCTTAACCGACTGAGCCACCCAGGCACCCTGAATGAATCCCAATTAAATATTGACTTTGGAGGGGCACCTCTGCCTTCTCCCCTGGAACCTCCTCCCCTGTCTGCTCAGAGTCCCAGTGTTTGTCACAGTGTCTGTGTTTCCCAAAGATCCAAGGGTGTAGAGTCCCTGCTAGGACTAACGGGAGGGCAGAGCCTCTGGTCTGGGGACATTGCTATCCCAAGGGGACTCAAGACAGACAAACTCTCCAGTCTGTTCCTTTTTCTTGCTGTCAGTATGGTCAGCTAGTTTTTTTGTGAGTTGCCACCCATTAGGGGTCATGAAAACAATCATCTCAAATTGCATTTTATTTAAATGAAATGGAATAAAATTAAAAATATCAGGTGCGTTTCATGTAGTATGGCTAAAGAGCGTTTCAGGGACATTTGTTTTCATTGGGTGCACCTGTGGGTGTGTGTGGGCACTTGGCTGTGAATGGAAATGTTTCTTACCATGAGTCCAATCAGAAAGATTAAAGAGCCACATGTCTAAATGTTTCCCCTTCTGCCTTTGCAACACTTATTTGCAGCAGTTTTGCAACCTATGTTTTGCACAAGATAACGTGAAAGGGAGTTTCAATCTACTTGTCTACACTGCCCGTGAGGGAACAGAGGAGCCCACCCAGATGATGACCTGGCTCACATTCCACTGACCTGCTTAACGTAAGCACTTAAACCCTGAGGCCTGTCCTGGAATTAAATTGTTTGAATTAACATACCTTGTTGGAAGCCAAACTAAGCTATATTTTCCTAGTGGATATTTGTCACTAAAATCCTACTATAAAATACATATTTTAAAAACCCAGTTTATGAATTTGCCATTTATTCTTCCCTGCTCCTCACCAGCCAGTCCTGGCATAATATACTGGACTTCCTCCTCCTCATATCCCAGGTATGAATGCTCGAATGTTCGGGTGTGTGGATGGGAGGGTGGTGTGGCCTGGTCTGGCTGCTCCCAGGAGGCCCCTCCCACTGCCCCCCTGCCCCCACTAGCAAGACCCTGGAGAGCCTCCCAGACCCTGGGATCCCAGGGATTCCTCGTACTGAAGCTAGATAAATGCTCACACATCTGTAACACATTCTGCTTTCCTCCACAAACCTGATACTCCTGAGCCACCTTCTGGGCAGGGTGGATTATATCTTTGTTCTCATTTTTTTCTAGAAGCAGATCTTACAGAAGTTAGGGAGAGTGGAACGCGAACTCAGACAGCCTGGATTCTCATCCCAGATCTTCCCCTTATGAAATAATGCCTTTGGGCAAGTTGTTGAACCAATTCAAGCTGCCGCCGCCTCATCAGTAACAGGAAGGATGATAATAACATCTGTGTGGGCAGGTGACTCTGAGGAACAAATGAAGTGATACAGGTAAGGCATGTTAGCCCCATACCGAGCATACAGTAAGTGCTCACTGTGTATCACCTGCCATTATCACAGTGGTTATGATTATTACAACGTATTATTATTATGATACTCTGGGCAGCCCCTGAGCGGCCAGAGGTGTGAGGGCCACACGGGCCCCTCCTGGTTAACCCCAACGTCCATTTCTCCATCACTCCACTGCCTTCCCCCACTATCAGGCCTCTGGCTTCCCCCGGAGCTCTTGGTCCTGCCCATTGTCTCACCTCTTCATGGCCACCACCTGCCTCTCAGCTTCACTCCCTCCATTCCAAGGCTGGCTTTGAGGGACGCTGGATCCGCAGTCCTTGCTGCAGTCTGAGCAAGAGAATGTGCGGTACAGCATGAGAGGCCCCGGGGTCCTGTCAGGAGGCATGGCTGTTTGTTTCAAGTAAATTAGAATGGGCAGGAGGGAGGGTCCTGGCAGTCAGGCCGGGCCCAGGGCCTGAGGCGTGTGACAGTGGAACCTCCCTGCTGGTGGAGAAGCAGGCAGAAGGAACTTGGACTGGGGGTGGGGAGGGACTGGAACTGGAGGCAGACAACCCAGGACCATCTCCTGCGGGGCTCAGGGGAGCCTGGAGGGGCCACGGGACACACAGCGGGAGCAGGGCCTCAGATCAGGGGAAACTGAGGTCAATACCCAGACACATGGACTGGGCCGGTATCGTTTTCGTGGGAAAAGGTTAGGATGCACACCCAGGTGATTGAAAGGTTGCCACCCCTGGAGTCCACATGGGGGCAGTCTGTGAGCATGTGCCGAAAGATAGGGTACAGAGATGGATTGGCTGCCATGGTCAACCTGGAATAACTCTCCCAGGGGACCTAAGTGGGGAGGGGCTGCTGGCCGCCTGGGGCTTCCTGCCTCCAGACTAGATGGATCCAGCAGGAACAACGTCAGAGCTGGCTCTGCTAGAGGGAAGCTGGGGAGGCCGAGGCATGGGAAATGGGTCTGGGGTCTTGAGGAAATACTGTGCTATTTAGGGTCATGTGTCCCCTGAGCCTTCTTTAACTCTTCCATAACGTGGGAAAGGTGATGATCCCCGTACGCGAGTTCTTAGGTGTGTAGTGAGATGAATATAAGAAGTAGTTTGGAACAGCTAAACTCATGTTCTTATGTTGTCATTACTGTCCCTGGTGTAAGTACACAACCTCTTCTCATGCTAAGGACTTTACTAAAATTCATTTTAGTAAAGTAAAATCATAGTAAAACTGATACAACTAGTTGGGGAATCCACAGAGTTTCCTGAAATCAGAGAATGCTTCTGAGCAGGAATGGCACTGAGGATTAGCCCAGTCTTGGCAAGAGTGAGCATCTGTGTGGGAGGTGAGGGAAGAGAGCTGTCTTGGTTCAAAACTGGTGACAAAACAGGGCTTTGAATGTTCCTGAACTAGGTGCCTGCCCACCTCAGTGCTGGGCCGATGTTCAGGTGTGCCGCCATGATTGGGGGCCCCAGCCTGAGACCTCCCTGCTCTGAGCCAACCCTGAGAGTGTCTGGAGAAGGCCTTTGGTCAACAAGGGTGGAGTAAGTTAGGTCGTGGAGCAGGGGGGCTGGTTCAGCACTATCCTGAACCAGCCTAAATGAGCCACAGCAGGGGAACGGGCATCGGGCCGGCACTTCCTTATATTTGAAGAGATTGGGGGATTTGCAGTTTCATACACACTCAGGCCTTTCATCCTCTCAACAAATCAGTCCAATTATTATCCCTTTTTTAACTGAATAGAAAAACAGGACTCAGAGTGATTTGCCTAAGGGCACTCGGCAAGCTCATGGCCAGGTTAGGCCTAGAACCCAAATGCTGGCGTTTGGAGGCACAATGTCCCAGGACTGGGGCGGGAGCCAGGATCAGACCCAGGCTATGGCCAATAGCTCTAAGGACCAGAAACTGGCAGTTCTGGGCCTGAGGACATATGGCCAGTGTCTCAATGGATGAAAACAGTGTCTGGTCATAGCTTATAGGAGATAGGTCCTTTCCTTTTTACAGTGTTCTGTATTGATCAGAATTTTTGCCTAAACAAGTTTTATATTCATAATCAGACAAAATAATCTCATTTTTCTGGGGGTGGGGTGGGTGGAGATCTGTACGCAACCACACTGGGGGCCTGTGCACTCCCAACAAATGCTCTCATGGGCAGGTCTCTGGTCTCATGATACCTGAGCCCCCCAGTACTCCTCTCCTAGTGATGGTTTCGGGAATTCCAACTTGCACTTTTCTTGGCTCAGACTGCCTTCTTGCAAACACAGCTGCCCTCCCCTGTCCTTCAAGGGTTTTCCAGCAACCCTCTGCGCTCAGTTCCTTGGCAGAAGACTGGGGGATCACATGGCTGAGTGAGTGGCATTTTCTGAATCATGGAATGGAAAGAAACACTATACAGAAAAGCTGCACACAGGGCTTCTGTGTTGAGCCTGGATGACGACACAGCGCGGGAAGTGATTCATCCCAGCCCGCCTGGCGTGTGTGCTGGTCAGCAGACGGAGTGCAGTTCAGTGCTCGCCTTCTGCGGGGACCAATGGGGCTTCTCAGCCACAGGGCAGCCCCGGGTGCCTCCCACGCACACCAGCGCCCGGAGCCACCAGAGGCAGCTCGGCAGGTGTCTGGGGAGGTCACAGACAATAGGACAGAAGGTGAAAATGATGGAATATCCAGGTTAGGGGAATCAGAGAAAGGAACTAGGCAGACAGATGTGGGGAGAATATGGTCAGGCTCTCCTGAAAACCAGGAAACAGGCTCCGACTTCTCCATTCCACATCCAGAAGCACAGCCTAGCGCCCAGCACGCACAGGAGACGTGTGCTCACCAATGCCAGAATGGACTTAATAAATAATTAACACGCTCATGGAGCCTTTACGGAGTCCAGGCATGGTCTAAGTCCTTGACGTGTGCTATCCCACTTCATCCTCCCAACAGCCCTCTGAAAACATCAGTGAACCCAATCTTGCAGATGAGGAAATTCTGCACAGAAACATGAAATAGCTTGCCCGAGGTCATGCAACCACTAAGGAGAAGTCTCACCTACAGCATCCTGTCCCAAGTCTGTGTGCAGAGGTCCTCTTCTTGGCCAGACACTGCTCTTCACATACATGATCGGATTTAACCTGCACAACAACAATACAAAGAAGGTATTGTTCCCATTTTAAAAATGGGAAAACTGAGGCTCAGAGAGGTTAAGTTGTTGCCCAAAGTCACACAGCTGGTAAGTGATGAAGTGGGGCTCACCCATGTCTGCCTGACTCCAAAGCCCATGATCTGTTTCATGACATTTCTCTACCTCACCACTGATGGAGAGGCGTTCTCCCCGCCTCCACTGATGGAGGTGTTCTCCTCATCTTTTGGGACAGTGTCCCTCTTTTCTGAGTCCTCGGCCTGCCCACCCATGGTTTATATTGGTTAAATCTTGACTCAGTAGTAGGAACCTCTTGGTTGTTCCACACAAGGGCCTCCCTTGTTGGAGAGGGAGGAGAGAGGTGATGCCCCAGAGCTAAAGGGACAGTGTCCCCAGGGTGGACTTGGAGGGTTCTGTGCACGTGGGGAGGGATGAGGGAAGTGAGGCAGAGCTGGCTTGGCAGCAGGTCCAGTGGGTCTCCCCTGGCTCTGTATCAAAATCCCCTTTGAGAAAACAGAGGCTAGGAATGGTAGAGATCTGGGTGGCAGTGTGGGGGTGACTCCAAGGGGCAGCTAGGGCTGAGAAGTGCTCATTGCATCTACTACTATTCTTTACCCCGTGGACCACCTCTCTGTGGGGTCAGCCAGGAACTAGCAGGTTCATATGGGATCTGAATCTCCCAGGCCACAAGCCACAGAGATATATCATATATAGATGCTATTGCTTTTGTTGTTACTTAAAGTTGATGTCTTTAAGCAAGGTGTGTATTCTCCAGTTTGCCACGGGCCCCACCATTCCCCATTGCCTGATACACTTGCACTCACTTTGGCAAGTTACGGTGTTACTGCAGCTCCTGATAACACTGGAGTTTGAGGCCCTGAAGATGTAAAGTAATCTAGCGTCCGCATTTCACCTGGAAAAAAAAATATACTTGTGCTTCCTAGACCAAAATGAGGACCCCGTGGCCCCTTGAAGTTACAGTCACTGGGCAAATCTGTAAAGCTAACTCTGAAGCAAATAATAACTTATAAAATAACTTAAACCCACATCGAAGTGAACTGGCTTGAGATTACCATTTGCTTTGGGTCATCTCCATCACTGATGCCCACACTCACAGAAAACCAAGCCCTGAGCTCATTGTCTCTCATGCTTGGGGTTAGAGTTGGGGCTGTCACGAGGAAATACACATCAACTGACACACCCACAGGTTTAAGGACGTGTCAGTTCACATCCTTGGTTTTCCCAAGTTAGGGATCATTGGGCCTGGCTTCAAAGTGGCCAGAGGCCATTGGTGGGAGGGAGGAGAATCTTCCTTCTCACTGTATATTTCTTGTTCACATTGTTCTTCCCTGCAAACATGAGTGACTTCTGTAATACAAAGATATTCCCAAGGTGCCTGTGGGCAGGGCAGGCCTGGGTGCACATGCAGCCTGGGACTCACTGTCCTCCTGACCCCTGGTTCCCCTTTGTCACATGGACAGGCTTTCTCTGGGTGGACAAGTGAGAATGTGGGGTGGGTGAGGACAGGAGCAGACTATGGCAGGGCCGCATGTCCACAGCTCCCGTCCTGGGACCTGCAAACCTGTTACTTCACGTTCCATTGGCAAGTCACTCTAACTGCCATGGGCCACTCCCGATGCACCACCGGCTTCCTTCCCCTCCACTGATGGAGGCGTTCTCCCCCCCTCCACTGATGGATGCGTTCTCCCCCGCCTCCACTGATGGAGGCGTTCTCCACCCCACCACTGATGGAGGCGTTCTCTACCTCACCACTGATGGAGAGGCGTTCTCCCCCGCTCCACTGATGGAGGCGTTCTCCCCCGCTCCACTGATGGAGGCGTTCTCCACCCCTCCACTGATGGAGGCGTTCTCCACCCCTCCACTGATGGAGGCGTTCTCCACCCCTCCACTGATGGAGGCGTTCTCCACCCCACCACTGATGGAGGCGTTCTCCACCCCACCACTGATGGAGGCGTTCTCCACCCCTCCACTGATGGAGGCGTTCTCCACCCCACCACTGATGGAGAGGCGTTCTCTACCTCACCACTGATGGAGGCGTTCTCCACCCCTCCACTGATGGAGGCGTTCTCCACCCCTCCACTGATGGAGGCGTTCTCCACCCCACCACTGATGGAGGCGTTCTCCACCCCTCCACTGATGGAGGCGTTCTCCACCCCACCACTGATGGAGGCGTTCTCCACCCCTCCACTGATGGAGGCGTTCTCCACCCCTCCACTGATGGAGGCGTTCTCCACCCCTCCACTGATGGAGGCGTTCTCCACCCCACCACTGATGGAGGCGTTCTCTACCTCACCACTGATGGAGAGGCGTTCTCCCCCGCTCCACTGAGGAGGTGTTCTCCACCCCTCCACTGATGGAGGCGTTCTCCACCCCACCACTGATGGAGGCGTTCTCCACCCCTCCACTGATGGAGGCGTTCTCTACCTCACCACTGATGGAGAGGCGTTCTCCCCGCCTCCACTGATGGAGGCGTTCTCCGCCCCTCCACTGATGGAGGCATTCTCCACCCCACCACTGATGGAGGCCTTCTCCCCTCCTCCACGGATGGAGGCGTTCTTCACCCCACCACTGATGGAGGCGTACTCCACCCCTCCACTGATGTGAGCCTCTTCGGGGTCCAAGCTCCCCCTCTTCCGGGCCTCCCACTCAGATAGCTGTCCAGGACGAGGCAGGCCACAGCTTGCCCTGCTTCCCCTGGGCTGAAGGCAGGCAGGTTGCTTGAAGGGTGGAAAGGAAAATTTGTGTCCTGGGGCTGACGCCAAAGGCCCAATGTTGCACCTAACAGAAAAGCCCTGTTGTCCCCAAAGGCCCTGGAGCCATCTTGGGGTGCCTAGGGACAGCCGCTCCATTTTTAACAAAACCCCTAAAAGCTTACACGGTACCAAGGATGGTGGGTGTGGCCGTGACCTCCCAAATGGCCCCCTACCCACCACTAAGCCGGTGACTCTCCCGTTCCCATAAAGCTCAGTTCAGAAGCGCCAGCCCAGGAGCTGCTCTAAATGCCCCAGGACAGCCCTGGCCCTGACTGCCACGGGGGACAGTGCCCAGAGCTGTACAGCACCTTGCAGGGAAACAGCAAAACTTGACAGTTTTCGAAGTACACTGAGCTCCACAGTATAGCCTACAAGTAGGGGCGGAGGGTGCCACCTCCATTTGCACAGGTAAGGAAATTGAGTCACCTGCTTAGGGTCCCTGGGGCCCCATACTGGTGAGTAGTAGCCAGAACCAGAACCCATGTCTTTGGACTCCTAGGCAAGGGCTCTTTTCCTTCATCTGGGATCCCAGCACCACCCCCGCCCCAGTCCAAGGCGGGGTAGAAGCACCCAGTCCCCGTCTCTCCCCACCCTCGTGATCTGATTCTCATCAGCACTCCCTGCGCACGCAGCCCTGAGCTAACCCTGGGCCTGCCTTCAACTCACAGCATGCAGAGGGTTGGGGGCTGTGGTCCTCAGATCACATGGCCACAGCCCCTGACTGGGGACAAGAAGGTCATTTGCACGAGGAAAGCTGTGGGCTTAGGATAGGTTGCAGGTTTGCTAACAAGGCTGCAGAAGCCCGTTCTCCAAATGCAAGCAGACAGCAGCCTGATAAAAACACAGGGGCTACCTGACTGACAGGAGGGTACAGCCTGCATGGCACCTAGGGGGGTGGGCACAACCCCCCAGGACTCCCCTGAGGTGGTGGTTTCAGTTGAGTTGGGTGAGGGGCACAGGGGGAGCTGGGCAGCCAGCCAGAGGGGACCCACAAGCAAAGGCATCAGTTTAGGGGAGGAACCAGCTTGTCCTCAGCCCCTGGTCTGTAGCAAATGTTAAAAAAATGATGTTTGAATGAGGATGGAAAGAAGGAGGAAGGAGGAGAGGGCAGGAGTGGATCTATTTATTTATTTATTTATTTTTAAAGATTTTATTTATTTATTTGAGAGAGAGAGAATGAGAGACAGAGAGCACGAGAGGGAAGAGGGCAGAGGGAGAAGCAGACTCCCCGCCAAGCAGGGAGCCCGATGCGGGACTCGATCCCGGGACTCCAGGATCATGACCTGAGCCGAAGGCAGTCGCTTAACCGACTGAGCCACCCAGGCACCCGGAATGGATCTATTTAGCTAGTTAATTCTCAACATTGAGGGAGGAAAAGAAATAAGACAGTCATCAATTAGTATTTTTTTTTTTTTTTTTTTTTACTGAATAAACTGTTTCAAGCTTGTAAACATGAAACCCTTTAAAAAGAGATCGTAATGGGGCACTTGGGTCGCTCAGTCAGTTAAGCGTCTGAGTCTTGGTTTCAGCTCGGGTCATGATCTCAGGGTCGTGAGATCGAGCCCCAAGTCTGGGCTCTGCGCTCAGCACTGAGTCTGCTTGAAGATTCTCCTTTTCCCTCTGCCCCTCCCCCAGCTCACACGTGCGCGCGTGCGCTCGCTCTCTCTCTCTCTCTCTCTCAGCTCTAAAGTAAATAAATCTTAAAAGAAAAAAGACAGGGGCGCCTGGGTGGCTCAGTCGTTAAGGGTCTGCCTTCAGCTCAGGTCATGGTCCCAGGGTCCTGGGATCGAGCCCCGCATTGGGTTCCCTGCTCAGCGGGAAGCCTGCTTCTCCCTCTCCTGCTCTCCCTGCTTGTGTTCCCTCTCTTGCTGTGTCTCTCTGTCAAATAAATAAATAAAATCTTAAAAAAAAAGAAAAAGAAAAAAGAAAATTTCTGGCGATAGGGGTTCAAGGAGCTTGCTGTCCTGTGACACGGTTCCCCACAGGTTCTCAACCCCAGTCATCCTCCTGGAAGCTGCAGTAACCCAGGGCAAGGGCTCCCCAGAAGGGCCACCTCCCCTCCTGCACGCATAGCTGGGAGCCCAGTGAACTAGAGTAGAGGGTGTGCAGGATGCATGCTCCCTGCCTAGGCCAGGCTCAGGAAGGGCAGGCACTGCTTCTAAGGCCTGGGGTGCAAATCTCGGTCTTGGAATCCCCTTCCCCAGCTCAGCTCCGGAGCCTCATTCCTCCTCCGTGCCAGGAAGGCCCTCATGCCCCTGGGAGCCGGCATCGGCCATTAGTCACTTGAGGCTACTCTCCAGCGCTCCCTGACCAGGACCCAAGCCCTCTTCGGAGCCCTGGGTTCAGAGCTTCCTGAACAAGATTTAACTGTGAACTCTGTTTAACCTGCTTTTGGGACAGGCTGGGTCAGGCTCCACCCTCTTCTGTCTTGCGGCAAGCAAGGCGTCAGGTCAACCCAGGGGTATTCCTAAGCGTGAGAAGGCCGTGGTGTGCCTTACGGAAGAAATGTGTGTAGGAGATGAGCTGCGTTCGGACATAGAGCAAGGTTCTGTGTGTACTGGTACCTCGCATCTTCTGGGGCCCACCCTGGAGGCTATACGTGCTGCTCTTCCCGCCCATCCCCATCCCCGCTTCGGCTGGTCCTGGGGAGGGAAGTGGGAGGACAGGGCAAACTAGAGGGTCTGAGAGACAGGGGTGGGGTGTTCAGTCATGTGTCAGTTCTAGGTGGAGGATGCCCCAGCTCCCCCGAGGTCCTGCTCTGGAGGTGAGAGCTGACAAGGCAGCACAAGATTTGGCCTCGGCTTCAGCTCCAACACAGGCCCAGCTGTACAGCCCCCTCCTGGGGATGTCTGCAGAGCTGCTGGGGGCCCCTCAGACCCAGGCCCATGACCTTAGAGGACGTCCATGACCCAGTGGGCACCAAGTGGAGGGAGGCCTGTGGCTGCAGAACGCCCCTTCCCTGGCCTGTCCTCACAGACCGCCTCTCCACTCCCCCTTCCCATCCCCACACCCAGATGCTGTGCCCCTTCCCTGGCTGTCACCCCACCTGACAAAAGACAGACCTCTCCCACTGCCCGCCCAGCACACCTGTCCTCACCCTCCACCTGAGACTACGCTTGAGGACCCTCCCCTCCCCTGCATTTCAGGGCCCCGAGCCCTGTGACGAGGCTGGCTGCGGTGGGAGTGGGGAGCTGTGGGGGGGGGGCTTGGGCCTGCACCCCCACAGTGCCACCACTTTGTCTAACCAGGTGGGGTAGGCCTCTGTGACCCGGGCTGAGGACCAGCCCACCAGACGTGATTTCTGTGGAGAAACCAAATTCTGACTCCCAAGCCACCGACTTGCAGAGGCATGTAAGTCCAGGGTTGGTGGTGATTTGGGTGTGAGGGGAGGGCAGAGTCACCAGAACCCACGGTGGCTGCTCTGCCAGCTTCGAGGCCCTCTAGGGACACCAGCCCAGGCTGCTCTCCCAACCCTCCCGAGCAGCCCCCTCACCCCTCAGTCTGTCCTCTGCACCTCCGTCCAGCTTCCCCTGCCAGTTGCCGTAAGACAGAACACATCGCTGGGCAGAGCTTTGCAAACACAATGGATCCTCCCTATTCGTGGATTCCATTTGCAAATTTACCTACTTGCTAAAATGTGTCAATACTCGGGGCTCTTTTGCGGTCATGCGTGGACGCCATGCAGAGCGGTGACAATCTGAGTTGGCCTTCTGGACATTCCCAGCTGAGGTCCCGAGATGACGCTCTGCCTTCTCGTTTCAGCTCCCACGTGAGAAATGTGTCCTTTTCACAGTCTAAGTAGGGCCATAGTTGTGCGTGTGCGCGCGCACTCGTGCGTGTGTGTGCGCGCGCGTGTGATTTTGTTGGTCAAGCACAAGAAGGCTGGGATGGATGCTACGGAGGAAAGAGTATTCACTGAGCTTCGGCAGGCGTGATAGTGCTGTTGGCCGTGAGTTCAACATTAATGAATCGCCCATTCGGATTACATAGAGTCTTTAGACAGAAACACACATAAAACAAGGTCATTCAGATGATGGAA